GGGGGGCTGCATTTAGCAGGTGCTTGGCTGGTTCTCTTTGTGCAAAAAAATAAAAATAAAGAGCCCAGTCCACATTATTGTCCGCAGGGTGCCTCTGGGGAATCAGGAAAGTTCTGCCAAGACCTTCCATCAAAGTGACAAGCCTCTATTCAACGGGCCTCTCTGGAAAGCAAGGGGGTGGGGTGGGGGTGTGGGGGGGGAGAGACTGAAAAATAAATAAATAAAACTCCCAGCGAACGAGCCCCGAATTTCCCTGTAAAAAACGGACATTTAAGCCGCTGAGTTGTCAAGAGCCAAGATCGATGGCTTTCTTTGGAGGGAGCCTGTTTGAACAGGGCTCTGTTCCAAATTTTGTCTTCTCCCCTCTTTCCCCCCATCCCTTCCCAGGATTTATTTTGCCTGTGAGCAAAAGTTGTGTCTTGTTTTTTTTTATATATATTTTAATTGGGGGCTACGCCGTAATCCTTGTGGGTGGTTTCTTTCTCCCCAGCTGTTAATTGGCCTGTCCAGGAGAAAAAAAAATAGCATTGAGTCTCTAATCATCCCTTTCTCACTTGGGGGCCAGTCTGAGTATCAACGGTGGGACTGGCACACCGCAACACGTAGGTGATGCGTCGTTGTGCATCGAAATAAACTCTTAAACGCCCTCGATTCTTTTCCCTTCTGCAAGTTTGCTCGAATAAAAAGTATTTTGATTCTGAATAAAAACAGCTTTCCAGTTTTCCCCTTGTGCCGCTCCAAATATAGATTACATCTCCTGGGAAAGCCCGGGCTTTTATACCTTCCTTGCAAAATGTCCAGGTTGCTCCAGATTACGTATTTATTCTTCCACTGACTGGTTTGTTAGTTTGAAGATCAAAAGATGGTTTATCTCAGCAGTATGTGAGTGTTTAAAAACAACAACAACAAAAAATCAGGGCGTTTTGAGACTCTCTCTTGTATATGTGTCCTTAAGCGGAGGAATTGAACTGGCGATCTTTGGAAGGACAACGTGGAGGAACGTGGTCCTTCTCCAGTATCTCCAGAATCAAAGGTCTTTTGGGTGGCAGATGTGCAGAAGGTCTCTTCTCAGATCTTAAGAGAGCCATCTTGTCAGTTAATTCAGATTTATGGCCCACGAAGAAAGCCACCGAGTTGGGGAAAGAGGCCACGGTCCAGCTGTGCTTGGTGACATTCATATTTGACCTCTTTTCCAGATCATAGATCCGTTTGTGGAAGTCGAAGTGATCGGCTTGCCCATGGATTGTTGCAAAGAGCAGACCAGGGTTGTGGACGACAACGGTATGACTCCTCTCCCCTTCATTTTGACTCCCCCTTTCCCGCCATCTCTGTTCTGTGCCTTCTGGTGCGTTGAAGATCCCCTCTTCTCTGTGGAATCTATAGATACCTATCTATGGCTGGCTGGGGAATTCTGGGAGTTGAAGTCCACACATATCTATCTATGGCTGGCTAGGAGTTCAAGTCCACCCATTTTCAGGCTGCCAAAGTTGAGAAACACTGCTCAGTAGATCACTCTTGGAAAGGTCCATTCTCCTGGCTCTTGGTTTTGCAGGTTTCAATCCGATGTGGGAAGAAACCTTGGTTTTCAACATTGGCATGCCAGAGATTGCCCTGGTGCGTTTCCTGGTCTGGGACCACGATCCCATCGGGAGGGATTTTATCGGTCAGAGAACGATTGCGTTTACGTCAATGATGCCAGGTAAGATGCACCTGTTCGTATAACCGTGTGTTTTTTTATTTTTTATTTTTGTTCCCCTGCATTTCCTCTGAGGCTCTGAGAATTTGCCCGTTAAGGTAGGTCCCAAACAGGCAATAAAGAGGAAATTCTTTGCTGGGTGTGCCCCCAAATCTTTGAGAAAAATCTTCCTTGAAAACCCTGGAGAGACATCTAGTAAGTTAGTCCTTGGAGCATTTGACGTTAGTGGAAGCCACAGAAAAAGGACCACGGATATCCTCCCGTTTTCTCTCGCCCCGTTCCTCCTGCCAGCCATAACCCAAAAAGGCGTCTCCGAATTGTTGGTTATCTCTGCCAACTTTCCTTTGGCTCATCCCCAGATCGATGGGGAAAAACTTCAAAGCATGGGCGTTCGTTGGTGGCGGGGGGATTTATTTTTGGTTTTGCCTTAAAACGAGGCTGTCATTTTCACTGGCAGCCAAAGATTGGCCGCCATTAATGCCAATAATGACGTTAAAAGCCAGCTGGAGGAGGAATGCCTGCAAAAACTGGGGGGTTATTAATGGGACTCTTTCCTCCCTCCCTCCCCCCATCCACTCCATCTCCCTCTTTGGGCACCCGAATGTATGCACATCCGCCAGGGCCTTCCCAGCTCAGATAACACAACACACACACAAACACACACACCGTCTTTCCATCTATCCCTGTCCTTCATCCTTTATCCTCTTCAAAGCTGGAGAGGAGAGAAGATTTTTAACGAAAGGGGGAGGAAAGACCCTCTAGGTGGCACCGAAAGAGAAGAACGAACAAAAGACACGTGAATTGTGACACTCCGGATGGCTTTCCGGGAGAGCCAGCAAATCAATTAGAAAATACGTGATTGTCAGCGGGGACTCCGTTCTTTGATAACTGGAGAGAGAGAAAAAGAGAGAGAAAGAGAGAAAGAAAGAACTGCTGCTGAATGCCACAAAGGAGCATCTCCACTGACAGATGCAATGTGGTCGCAGGATATGAAAGAACCGGCAATAAATTAAACATCTGGAAACTTCTGAGACCCAACTTGCTTTAATGCCAGCACTGAATAAGTGGCAGCATCCTACAGTAGTTTTGGATCCCCAAGAGACTTCTCTTTATATGTGTGTGTGTGTGTGTGTGTGTTTGGGTGTTTGTCTTCATTCATTCACAATATAAAATACAAAAAAACATCATTGCCCTCATTTTAGCCATTCTCCATCCACTGCAGGAGGAATACCTCTTTGGCCCGTTTCCAACCAAGATGGTCCTGGGCTTCCCTTTGCCAGTTGGGCCCGCCCTACTGGGCTGATGTGGTCACTCCATCTTGTTTTAGATCTCTCTTGTGGACGCTTTTGATCAAGCGGGATCCGTTCTAGGACTGCCTTGGTCCACCTGCCGTCCGTTCTTGCTATGTGACCAGCCCGTTCCCAGTTCCATTCTTTCCCTTTTTAGACGGCATCATCTTCTTTCTTAATGGATAATTCCTCCTTAGCCCAAGATAAGCTTGGCTTAGGGTGTGCCCGTTTCCGAGCGTCTTCTCTTAGCTTCCTTCTCTTGTCGTTCATTGGCCACCCGTTGTTTTGACACCTCCCTTTTTCTGGATCCTGGTCTTGGCTCAGCTGTCACTTTCACCTGCTCTCCTTCCTCTTCCCTCTCCTTGCAACCAGATCTCCTCTCTGACCAGGAATGGGGGAGGTTGGGAGACCCCGGAAGGGATTTTGGGCTAAAGGAGATGAGAAGCCCTCATTCACCCCGCTTTCCTTGCTTCCAGGCTATCGGCACGTCTACCTAGAAGGTATGGAGGAAGCTTCCGTCTTCGTTCACATAGCCGTCAACGACATATGTGGTAAGGTGAGTCATCCTGAAGTCCGAGCCGTGCAAACCTGTCTAGAACTTAAGATTTCTTCCAGATGAGATGGTTGACTTGTCCTTAACGGAAGGAAGAACCAATGGGGTGCCCCCTTTCTCTGGCATTTTGAAATGATTTCATATCTACGGAGATTCTCCATCATCCAGGTCATGCTGGTCCCCAAGGCTGCATTTCCAAAAGGCAACTGGATTTTCTTAGTTTTTTTCCCCCCTTATCCAAGAAGCTTCTTTGATTCTAACTGAAGAAGTTAGAACCGAAGAAGCTTCTTGGATAAGAAGCGAAACGTTTTCAAGGAAAAACACCTAGAAAGTCCAGTTGCCTTTTGGAAAAGCATCTTTGGGGCTAACACAGATATTTCTGTAATCAGGTGGTTCATATATGCATTTTTAAAAAAAAAAAAAAAATCAGTCTCAAAACGATTCTGAGCATGCACTGGGTGCTTTCTAGCTTTGCCCACAAAAACTCAGCAACAGCCTTGGCCAAACCTAATCCTTGCTGCAGTTGTGTGGATTCCTGATGATCAGCTGACCCAGTGCTTTGGGAAATTCTTATCCAGACTCAGAGAGAGTCGTTTTTTCTCAGCTAGTTACACCGCCAGTGCTCCTGTGTTCAAGGGTCTTTTAGTGCTTGAGAAGAAATAATTACATTTCACGTTGCTTAGGAAGGAATTTGTCATTTTTTTTCACTGCAATGATTGACGCGTGCAACGGGATCCGGCATAACTGTGTTAGCAATTTTTGAATATGGTCAGATCACTGGATGTCTCTGTTTAAATGCACGTCAGGAAAAACCTCACCGTTCCGTTCTATTTTCTTTTTCTTTTCTTTTTTCTTTTTTAACCCTTTTCCAAAGGCTGGACGTTCAGGAAAAAAAGGTCCACGCTGTAGCTAGTTTTTTTTTTTTTTTAAAATTAATTCCCCATCCAATTTTATTCTCTTCCCACCTCGATTAAAAAATGGCAAGTCCGCTTTTCCGAAATTTCTCTAGCTTTTCGTTGCTTGCGAAACCCAAGCTGATTCTCTTGCGTTTGCGTTTTGGTGAATCCAAGGTTTTCTTGTGCCTGTTTTACCAAAATATCCTATTTGTACTGTACCTATCTGGTGGATTTCTTCTGAGGCAGGCCTCCCAATTATCTCCTCCCAGTTACAGAGAGCAGCGAGTTCATCCATCAAGGGATGTGTGTTTGTGCCTTTTTAATCTATTCATCATCATTAGCCAAGCCAAATCAGTGGAAAATAATGCTGTCTAGCGGAAGCAACTCCATTAGGAACCAAAAACAGCTTGCCAAAATACACATAACCTGGTCAGGAAAAGAGACAGAAGCCGAAGTGTCTACGAATTTTCTGTTTTGTCAGTTTGCAAACCAGTTTAGGTTGGGACAGCCATTGTCTTGGAAAATTAAGAAACTTAAGAAAAAAAGGAGAGTTAGGGTCTCATTTATCCATCTGCTCATCCGCATATGTTCTATGATATATCTCAAAATACCAAACCCCCAACTCCCTACTGAATTAAACTACAGGTAGTCCTCGACTTATTGAGCCCCAAATTTCTCTTGCTAAGCAAGACGGTCGTTAAATGAGTTTTGATCCATTGGACGGCCTTTCTTGCCACCGTTGTTAAGAGAATCACCGCAGTTGTTAACGGTTCTTAAGTGAATCCCGCCTCCCCATCGACTCGGCTTGTCAGGAGGTCACCCAAGGGGATCACACGAGTCCCCGGACGCTGCGAACCGTCATAAATACGAGTCAGTTGCCGAGCATCTGAATTTGGATCGCCTGACCCGCGTGGGTGGGTCTTCAGCAACGGCCTTAAGTGTGAAAAAAAACACAATCGTAAGTCCCTTTTTTCCGGGGCCGTTGTGACCTCAAACGGTCCCTGAATGAACTGTCATAAACCGAGGAGTACTTGTCTGATGGAATTCTTTTTGGGTTGGGGGGAGAGTCTTTTTGAAAAGGAAAGCTGGTTTGTTGGCACTTTAGCTCTGTTTGATTTCTCAGCCAGGGGCTGAGAAAGCAGATCTGCGCGTCTGTTCGGAGAGATCCCTTCTCAGCCGATGGGCTCTTCCCGGACAGTCCCCCATTGAAAGCCAAAAAAACGTGTCAGGAGGCCGGGAGGAGCAGGGAAAACGTCCCAAAGAGAACAAGCGAGTCTCTGTCTGGATTTAGAGTTGGCCCATCGGATTCCAGGTGCTGCGAATCCCGCCGGGAAGGAGCCGTGCCGGACGGGCAATGTTGCGTAGCAACGTTTTGGGGGTGTTGTTGGTTTTTTTGCAAAAAAAAACTGGCATTAGGCCCCCTTTTTTCTCCTTCCAACAAGGGGAACTGGGAAGGGGAGAAGTTAACACGTTAAGCTGAAGCCTCTTTCCAAACTTCCTTCTTTTCTCCTCTCGGCCAAACATCCGAGGGAGAGTTGGAGGGAGGCCAGTTGGGTCAATGAAAAGAAGGCATCTTGTCTGGAAAATCTTCCGCTTCTAATCCCTCTGGGTCTGGTCCTCAGCGTTAAATGAAATTAAAGAGGGGGGGGCAAAGCTTCCCGGCGGGCCTTGGTGCTCTTCTGCTCCTTCCCTTTCCAACATCCACCAGGGAAAGCTGTGCAGGGGGTGTGTGTGTGGGGGGGAGCCCAGCCCATCATTCCTTTCCACCTTGTACCGGATCAGGCCCCAAATTGGGGTTAGTTGCCTGCAGGGGCGGGGGAGGAAATTTGGTAGCCCCCCCTTTCCTCCTGCAGTTGGCTCATTTTGTGTCGAAAGATTCCCCCAGCCTCTGTCCAAATAAATGTTTCCAATTTTTCATCAATCCGGGGGGGGGGGGGGAGAGAGAGGATGGATCGATGCGTTCCTTGGCCAGGAGTCAGTTAGATGCCGTAGCGCTTAATAAACTGAAGCAGGAAGGAAAGGGGGAAATTGGATTTCTTCCTGCCCCCCCTCTTTCTCTCTCTGTCTCTCTCTGTTTCTCTCTCGGTCTCTCTCTCTCTGTGTTTCTGTCTCTGTCTCTCTTTCTCGGTCTTTCTGTCAGTCTCTGTCTCTCTCTCGGTCTCTCTCTCTCTCTCTGTTTCTGTCTCCCTCTGTCTCTGTCTCTCTCTCTCTCTCTCTCTGTGTCTCTTTCTCTCTCTTGGTCTCTCTCTGTTTCTGTCTCTCTCTCTGTCTCTCTCGGTCTCTCTCTCTCTCTCTCTGTCTCTTTTTCTCTCTTGGTCTCTCTCTGTTTCTGTCCCTCTCTCGGTCTCTCCGTCAGTCTCTGTCTCTCTCACTCTGTCTCTCTGTCTCCCCCTCTCTCTCTGTCTCTGTCTGTCTGTCTGTCTGTCTGTCTGTCTGTCTGTCTGTCTGTCTGTCTGTCTGTCTGTCTCTCCCTCTCTCGCACAGGGTCTAACTATAAGCTTAAAAGCCTTTTGCCTTTTTTAAAAAAATAAACCTCCAGAAAGTGAATTATGTCGGTGTTAATTAAGTAGAAAAGTAGTCCTGTCAATTGTCCTTCACTTCAAATAGACACAGCCAAAGGTTGTGTGTGTGAGAGAGAGAGGGAGAGGGAGAGAGAAAGAAAGAGAGAGAGAGAGAGAGAGAGAGACCTTAGGAAAGAGCTTCTGCTGGACTGGAAGGAATGAGAGCCTGACTCTCAAATGCATTGATTTAGATTATGAGGACTAGAATCTTACTTTTCCAGAGAGGCAGGACCATTATTTGATGCTATTCTGGTTTGCTTTTTTTGGGGTGCGGGGAAACAACATGGACAAACAGCATTGATTTTAATGAACTCGCCTTCGCCCAGAGACAGACACCCAGAGCATTTGAAGCTTGCCTATCTCTCCACGGCAGGCAATTTTGTCCCTTGATTAACCCTCTTTGATCAGCCTCCACCAAATTCCTGCCCTCTTTGATTTCTCCTCCCCCCCCTTCTTTTTCTTCTGCTTGAGTTGCTTCCTGATGGATAGTTTTAATTTGCAGCTGACTGACACGGCCATTTTAAAAAGCTGGCAGCAATTTTTTTGGGCGGGTGGGTGGGTGACTTGCTGGCTTCCAGTTTGCCCATCACCACCCCGCCTGCATCTCTTTCTGTCTTCAGGAGCCCCCTCCCACTGCAACTCGTACGCTCGCCTTAAGTCCTTCCCCCCCCTCCCCTTTTTCAATTTCCCCAGGTGATTTGTTTTTTGATTGCTTTATCTCTGGTTCTTCCTTTTTTTTTTCAAATCGCTTACCTACCCCTTGTTGCGTTCTCATTAACATTTCTCCTGCCCCTGACTTTGTGGGCATCAATCTACTAATTACGGAGCCTAATCTTTCCAGGGAAGGGATTCCTTCATTTTGGGCGGGTGACCTCTGACCCTGAGCCTAATCCCACTGAATATGGAACCAGATCTGCGCAAAGGGAATTATGCTATATTTTTCTGCCTCTGGAGGGGGAACAAAAAAGTCTTATCCAACTGTTGCTTTTTTTTCCCTAATTAGACTCCTTTCATTCCAAATAAAATTTAATTATACAGAAAGGGGACTTTTCACCTTGCTCTCCCCACGCCTTTGAATGAATTTTGAGTTTAGTATGGAGCATCCTTCTGCTAACTGTAAAAAATCATGACATCCTTGGTGAAACACCGTTTTTGAGATTGCCAGTCGAGATGGTTCAAGACCGTTGTTCTCTTTGAATCCACCCGTTTGGTCCATTTGTTTTGGCAACCACCTTTTCAGACAACATCCGACACTTTGTCTGGAATGATATATTGTAGGGTCTCTTGCTTGAGCAGGGGGCTGGACTAGAAGACCTCCAAGGTCCCTTCCAACTCTGTTATTCTGTTATATCAAAGTAGACGATGGTACCCTCTCCCAATTTTAAGTGCTAGTTTCCATGAAGGTGGTAAGTAAACCTAGGACTAGAATGCCTAGCTGAGCAATTGGGGAAGGGGTCTCTACTGCAAAGTCGTCACACTTTTTAAGAATTGTTTGGTACGCTCAGAAAGCCACTCTGTTCTTTTTCTGCTCCCTTTTCTGCCTCCC